CTGCTGGTGCCAAGACTGTTGACTGTGGAGCCAAGCATAAAATAATTAAATGATGGTTAAATATTTCACTCATAATGACTTTTGATTTTTATGTAGGTAGATGTAAGCAGAAGAGTGCTAACATTGGACTTTAAACTGTTTTTAACATGTTTTTAGGTGCTGTCAAGTGTACTCTAGGCTCATAGTGGCTCTGTAGGACAAAGTAGATCTGTCCCATAGGTTTTCGTAGGTTCTTGGGAACAGTCTAACATACTGATCTCTAACAGCAGATGGTGAGTTAGAACCACTTGACCTTTTGATTCACAGTATTTCTCCAGAGTTCTTCAAAGTTTTAATCAGTCTTTTGTGTAACTAACATAGTTTTAGAGTTACTCTTTGAAAAGTAGAGGACATTTGGATGCATATTTAAATTAGACTGCTATTAGATGTCAACTAAACAGCCTTTCCTATCACCTACTAGATGAAAGCAAAATTTAATTTATACTTAAGTGGAGAGAGCAGAATTAATAGCAAAGACAACTTGAGAAAATTTTTGTGTAGGTGCACAGATGCAGAGCTTGCATTAAAGCATAGGGCATTGCAACTTTTCAGTCTGAACCAGCTGTGGTTGTTTATGATTTTTTACAGCCTATTTGCTTTGCATTCTTATGAATGTCAAGGGAGTTAACATTAGTTTATCTGAATTGACAGGTGCAGGAATTTAACTGTTGATGCTTATTTTAACTTTGGGGGAGGGGAAGGGGCAGAAACTTGCTTTTATCAGGGAGATGTTAGCTTTAATAGAATTTGCTGGGGTTTTTTGGCAGTATTTTTTTTTTTTAATTTCCGTATGGTGTTAAGAATTAAAAATGTAATAGTGAATTATCATCCCTGGAAGTGGTCTTTTCAAAATGAGTTCAGAGGAATAAGTTGGGATAAAGCCTTCTCTGTTTGCTGAGCAAACACTGGACACTAGGTAGAACACTTAATATAGAGCTATAATCTTTTAAACCTGGCCATCACTACAGTGCAATTCTTCGAGTGCTTTTACTCACCTGACACACACATTAGCTCTGATAACATCATTGAACCAAAGGGATTCAAACAAGTTAGAATTTCCTTGTGTTTTGCTGTGTACTGATACAGACGAGCATCCAAAGAAATACTTGAAAAGCTACATTTCCACAAAAAAAGATTGTGACTTGAAAAATATGTTGATGCCTTCATTAGTCTAAATTGAAGGAGAAATGAATAGTCAGGAGACCAGAGTTATTTTTTTTACATTTTTTTATTTTTTTAATTTTCCACTTACTTAGTACTATGACTCATAGTGACCCTATGAACAACAGATCTGCTGTACCCTGTCCTATCTTGTGCCATTCTCACAACCCATTGCTGTAACATTCCATCTCTTTGAGGGTCTGTCTCTGTTTCGCCAACCTTCTCCTTTCCAAGTTTGATGTTCCTTTCCAAGGAAATAACCTTTCCTAGCAAAATGCCCAGAGTATGTGAGATGAAGCTTTATTATTTTTTTCTTCTATGGATCACTCTGGTTGCACCTTCTCCAAGACATAGTTATTTGGCAGCCCATGGGCTATTCACTCCTCTAACACCATAGCTCAAAGGCATGAGTTTTTCTGTCAGCTTTATTCATTGTCCTGCTTTCAAATGCATAGTCCATGGTCTGAATCAGGCACACGTTAAGACCTCAAACTGACAGCATTGCTCAGTAATTTGGAGAGGTCCCTAACTACAGACTTTTCCAGTGCAGTATGTTTTCTTACTGCTGGCACTAAGGGTTTTGATTGTGGATCCAAATAAGATGAAATTGTGGACAATTTCAGTCTTTTCTCTGTCCATCATGATGTTGCCTATTGGTCCAATGGTGAGAATTTTTGTTTTCTTGACATTGAAATACAATCCATATTGAAGGCTACATTCCTTGATATTCTGCAGCAAGTGCTTAAAGTCCTCCTCACTTTCAGCAAGCAAAGTTGTCTCAACTGTGTAACATAGATTATTGATAAGTGTTGCTCCCATCCTGATGCCACATTCTTCTTCATAGAGTCCAGCTTTTCAAATAATTTGTTCAGCATACAGCTTGAATAAGTATGGAGAAAGGATGCAACCCTGACGCACATCTTTCTTAATTTTAAACCGTGTAGTAGTCTGCTCTGTTCACATGATAGCATAGGTTTAGGAATAGGTTTTACATGAGCACAATTTAAGTGTTTGGGATTCCCATTCTTCTCAGTGTTAACCATAATTTGTTATGATTCACATGTTCAGATGCCTTTGCATAGTCAATAAAGTACAAATAGACATTCTTCTGGTATTACTTAATTTCAGCCAGGATCCATCTGACATCAACAGTAATATTCCTGGTGCCATGGCCTCTTCTAAATCCTGCTTAAACTTCTGAAAGTTCCATACGCGCGCGCGCGCGCGCACACACACACACGTGTACACTGTACTAGCTATTTTTTAATTCTCTTCAGTAGTGTTTTTTATTTCACATAATATTAATGATATTGCTTGATAATTTTCACATTCTGTTGGATTACTTTTCTTGGGAATGGGAAAAAAAATATGGATCTCTTTCAGTCATTCAGCCAGCAGGATGTCTTCCAAATTTCCTGGCATAGACATGCCAGGAAGGATAAGTCATTTTAACCACTCAGTATCCCGGATGTTTTCACTTTTTTAAGAGAGAAATTTAGAGTAATTGATCACTAATTTCCTTTTAGATCTAAAATTCCTTGTTTCTAAGGAGTAGTCTGAAATATAATGTTTGGAGTTAACAGCCAGAATTATCAGATAAGAGTATGGGTGTATATTTTTGTTTCTTTCAGTGTCCTCAGTTTGAGCAAAGTATTTTCACAGCGGATAAACTCATTCTGCCAAAGTGTAACTGAAATTGTTGGGTTTCACTTTGAATTTCTGGTATCTCTCATTTTTAGCATTGTTTTAATTTTGTACTTGCAGCTGTAGTAATAGAACTACAAGTACATAGTTTATAAAAGAAAATACCAGAAAAGAATATAATAAAAAAACAAGGATTGAAAATAGGAGAATAGATTTAAAAGTTTGGAGGCCCAAATTCGTTCTTACTGCTGTCTCTTAAGTTTCTTCCTGAAAAGGGTTCTGGAATTGTTCTCTTTTGTGTCTTTTTCTATTTGACCATCATCCTCTTTTTTTTTAACCAACTTCTAAATAAGCTTGTATTGGTGGCTTGGTGAAGAGGCAAGTGAAAAGAATCCGTTGCCTGGAATTTGAGAGGAATTTATGATTATGCTCACTTAATCTGACAGAGACATAAAGATAACTGTGTTTCAAAACTGTAGATCTAAAATAATAATAAATATTCTGAAAGCTCTTTGTTTTTGGTAGGAATTAATATTTGGGGAAGAAGAAAGCCTTTTGAATAAGTGATCTTCAGATAACTCTTTAGGCAGTGATGTGAGAAGTAGTAAAAACCTCAACTGAATTACACGAGAGGGTGGGTTTTATATGTTAATCTGTGTTCTTTAAGTCAATAGGTATTGAGGTGTATTGCTTAGAACCCTGGACTAACAAGGCCTAGTGGTAAGAAGCTGCCCTCAAAGTGTGTGGTTTCAATCCATCAGTTTCTCTGGGGAGAAGAAAGGGCATTCACCTTCAGTGTGATTTACTGCCTCTGAAAACCCGCTGGAGGGTCAGCTATAGGTTGGTTTTGACTTGGCAGCACTCAGCAACAACAATAATATAGTGACCTTAGACAAGATATTTCACTTCAGACCCTGTGTCCTCAGTTCTCATGCTGGTAACAACTACTAAAAGTTATGAAGAAAGATAATTTTTTTGGCAGTGTATTATAAATTGAAATAATAATTGAGAGCCAGTCCATATATATTGCGTTGAATAAATTTTACATCTATGGGGAGAATTTTGGTAATATCCTTCACCCATTTACAGGTATGTTTTTTTGTGTACCTTTAAGTTGGAGTTAGATAAAACTCAGAGGCAGGTTTTCAGAGGCAGTAAATCACACAGGAAGAGATTGCCCATCCTTCTCCCACTGAGCAGCTGGCTGATTAGAACTGCATGCCTTCGGGATTGCAGCGCGCAATTTTTTGCCACTAGACCACCAGAGCGCAGATGTAGCATATTTAAATGAAAAGTTTGTGTGAACCTTTTAACCATCAAGGTAGAAAAACAATGAGATAAATTGTTGATCTTACTAGTTAAAAAATGACAAGTAAGAAACGGTTTATTATTCCCAGAACTTTGTTGAATCTAGTTTTGAAGAAAGAAAATACATTTAACTTTTGAACCTCTGATATTTTGAACTCTTATGTACTTCTTCCACTAACTGCTCTGTGGGAGGATGGGCAGGTTCCTCCTGTGATTTACTGCTGCTGAAACCTGCTGGAGGGTCACCTGAGAGTTGTTTCTGACTCAGTGGCACATACCAACAACATAACACAGTTACTGGTGGCTTAGTGGTCAGGAGGTGCTCTGCCAACCCAAAACCGCATGATACTCTAATCGAGTTGCTCTGAGGGAGCTTCCATGTAGTTGGTTGCCTCTTAAAACCTGCTGGAAAGTCAACTGTGAGTTGGTTCTGATTCAATGGTATGTTACAAACAATTGTGCTTATAATGCACTTGATTTCTGGTACTGTATTTACTATGCTGTCTACCTCCAGTTCATTTTACTTATGTTTTCCCTTGCCAGGTTTTTCGTTGGAATATACGCTGCACATTTATGGCGATTCTGAGTGTGAGGGCAGACTTCTGCCAGGCTCAGCACAGCATTTTCGCTGACAAGTGAGCTTGGGGTTTCTATGTGCCATAATTAACCTTGCCTTGAAGACTCTGGACACCGAGACTGGCCTCAGAAATAGTTGGCTTTTTTTTTTCTTTTTCTTTTTTTTAATAACAAGCCTATTTCTTTAATGACTCCAGTAAAAAAATTAAGCTTCAAGTAAACAAAATTGGAAAGTGACCTACACTTCTAACTTGTCTCACTAGTGCCTAAATGTAGTAAAGGCTGCTTAAGTGTGTGTAGTTGGATTTTTTTGGAGTCCGAAGGTATCCATCCACAGTCGTTGAGGCCCAAGTTGAATTTGGATTCAAGTGGATTCTAAATACTTCTGCTTATCTTGAAGAGAGAAGCTTCTTAATAAACACGTTAAATAGAGAAAACACTGACCGATAATAGGTATTCTAGTGGTCTTTTAAATGTTTTCTGCTGTGAAACATTTCAAGATTTATTGACTTTTTTTTTTCACTTCCCCATCTCACTCTCTCCTGCTCAAAGACACACACAGACACACATACACACAAAAACACTCATTTTTTATTTGCCATAATGAACCGTCCAGCCCCTGTGGAGATCTCCTATGAGAACATGCGTTTTTTGATAACTCACAACCCTACCAATGCTACCCTCAACAAGTTCACAGAGGTAAGTAAGATTGTAGCACGGTCTACATTTTTTATTGTTTTATGGATAAAATATCATTAAAAATTAACATCATTTTGAAGAAATCTCATAAAGTTATTTGTTTTGGTTATTGATGGTGGGTAGTTATATATTAGCAGTCTTTGTGTTGGGTTTTTAAAACAATTTTAGAATTTAGGGAAACTTTCACGATTATCTGTGCTTTTCTTTGTATCATTTTTACATTTGTCAGTGGTTCTTAGTTGTGCTTTCAAATAATAAAAATAATATTTATTGAACACTTTGTGTGTGTCAAGCATTATATATAAGTTTTATGCATGATGTCATTTGCTTCTCACACCCTGTGAGATATAAAAACCAAACCCTGTTGCTGTTGAGTCAGTTCATATTCATAGTGTTGCTCCATTGAGTTTCAGAGACTCTGAGTCTTCATGGGAGGAGCCTTTCTTCCCAAGAGTGCCTGATGGGTTTGAACCACTACTTTGATTAGCAGTGCAACATGTAACCAGTTAATGCCACCACTAGGACTCCTGTGAGATACTCACTCATTCTCATTGTCTTTGTGTTGGAACTGACTCACAAGCTCATTGGGTTCCTGAGGCTGTCAATCACATGGAAGATGTTTGTCCATCTTTCTCCTACAGAACCCAGAATTATAGGTACTGTTATTCTTTCCCTCTTACAGAAGAGGAAACTAAAGGTCAAAGCAATTCAGTGATTTGCAAAAAAGGGGAATAGTAAGTGACAACAAATACTTAGTGAGTTTTCTGACACTAAATCCATGTTCCATTTAAAAGATTTAATTGCCTTTGGTCAAGAGCTGTCCTAAAGCTGTATAGCAGTGTTGTTGTGGTGTACCATTGAATTGTAGCAACCCATTGCTGGGTCCTTTTTTCTCCAGCAGAGCATCTGGTGGTTTTGAACCACATATCTTTGCATCGGCAGTGCAATTCCTTTCCACTAAGTCACCAGAGCTCCCTTTATAGCAATATTGATCATCATATATAAGTTTCAGAACTTTAACTCATTACCATTGAGTCAGAACTGACAAATAGCTAACACTCTAAAGGGTTTCTGAGACTGTGAGTTGCATAGGAGGAAATGACCCATCTTTTCCCCTTGGAGCCATTGGTGGATCCAAACCATCAGAGGTGCAAAATTTGGATTAGCAGTGCATCTCCCTACAGAATACACCAGCAGAGCTTTCTTGGCATGATATATAGGGTTTAGAAACTTGATTGTGTTTTCTTTGGCTTTTTTTTTTTTTTTAATTTTATTTGTACGTGTACCGTCAAAGCAGATCTGACCTGGTACAGGAGGAGATTGTCCCCCTCCTTCTCCAGCAGAGCATCTGGTGGATTTGAATCGCACACCTCTGGGATTGCAGGGCAGCTTCTTGCCACTAGGCCACCAGAGCTCCCTTCTGTTGCTTTATTTACCAAGTAGAATTAGAGTGTTGGATTCCAAGTTAACTATTCTCATTTTCTAGATGACAAAATTGACCTAAAAGAGGTTTTTTACTTGTTTAGGTATCAAATACTTATTTAAAAAATTCTTCCACAGGCTTTCAATGAATGGTTATTGTGGAGTTCATGTTAATGGGATTTTAGTTGCATTTTAAAATTTATGTTTTAAATTTCTTATTTGAAATAATACTTCCAACTTTTTTCAGTTTGACATAAGATTTTTCTGTGAATTTTTTTTAACAATTAAAATAACCTTACTCTGTAATAACTGAATGATAGATAGATACCTCTTCCAGGCTGTCAATGTTCCTGTTTATTTATACCTGTAATTCCCTAAGCTGCTTAACTTCATGTACACAGTGTTCAAGTTGATTCTAGGCCTGTATGCCCTTAAGTTGTTCAGTCACCTTTAAGCCTGGCTGAATTATGTGATGCTATTTTCAGCCCCAGATTCCTTGGTCATACACTCCTAAAGTGGCAGAAGGCACTGTTCTGAAACTATAAAAAGATGTTAGTGGAAGATAGGTAGTCATTGTAGAAAACTTTAAAGGAGCAAGGTTCCTGGATATGAACTGTGTTAGCTAGCTTTTTAATTTGTCATTTCCCCTCCCCCTTTTTCATTTCAAAACTCCTTTTATTCTTTCTTTAAATTAAGAAACATTAAATGTTTTTTTGCATAAAAATTCAGATCTATGTAAATAAAAAGACAGTTTAAAAATACTCAACTGTTACTATTTTTTCTCTGCATATATGTATATATTTATACATATAGACACGATAATAGTTCATGAATTTTTAAAAAAATCATTCTTGTTTTTGGACAATGTTGTTGCTAGTTTTTTGCAGTTCCAATAAGCTCTATATTGCATGTGATACCTGAATCTTTAGGTTAATACTATAAGTTCCCAAAAGTAGAATTTCTAGGTAAAAATGCATTACATATTTTTAAGTTTTTTGTCTGTACTATCAATTTGCTTTGTAGAAAAGTGAATTTTACTCATAATCTCATTGGTAGTGCTTGAGTGTCCTTTGCTACCATGAGAACTGTTTTGATCTTTAATAGGCTAAGAATGATACCTTGTTGGGATTTATAATATATTTTTCTAAAGCTCTAGTTGGAGGTTCGAAAGCAAATCCCCAAGTACTTGTGTGTGTGCTGTTTTTCCCCCCCAATAAAGGAACTTAAGAAGTATGGAGTGACAACTTTGGTTCGAGTTTGTGATGCTACGTATGATAAAGCCCCAGTTGAAAAAGAAGGAATCCACGTTCTAGTGAGTGTGTAGTGTTTTTAATTTTTACTACAGAGTTTTACCTTTCAAACATAGGTATTTATAAAGCTTAATATTGTTACAATTTATAATAGAATATTCAGTGTTCATAACAATTTTTAATCCCTTAATAATTTGGCTATTTTAGTCATTGTATCCTTAAATTCTACAAATGAGTGTTTTCAACACAAAAAGCAAAATTTAATGTACATGTATTTCAAGAAACTGAAAATATTAATTTCAACTTAATGTTTAATTTTTTTTCTAGGCTACTGGTTGAATTTAAATGGAAGTACTTTCCATCACACACTATTATTTCTTAAAAATATTTGCTTAAAGTGAAAGTTTACACAGCAGATTATGTTATTATTGAATAATTTCTACTGGCTGTATTTTCCACATTATATCTTCTTTCTCATTCCATTTGGTTTATACCATTTTCAATATTCTGATTTCTCTGCCCTCTTACCTTCTCATCTTGTGTAATTTGTTAACATTTAGTCTTACATGGATGTTTTTTGATGACACTGACTAATCATGAGTGATACTTGAATAATACTCTTTATTTTATGAGCCAGTCTGTTATTTGTCTAAAAGTGACCTCAATGGATAATTTCAATTTAAGGTTTATAGAATATTTCAAGATGTTAATGTTAGAGATTATTATTTTTCTAGTTTCAAGTCCATCCATCCAAAAAGTGTGGACATTTACACAATTTTAGCTCTGTGCCACATTTTCCTTACATTGTACCAGGATCCCTCTGTTGTGATGCTAAACAGAATATAATAGTAGCTAGACACCATCCAGCTCTGGTTGCAGGGTAAGTGAGGCCCATGGCTTGCGTGGCCTTTACATCATGTAGACTACTATCTTTGTTAACTCTATGGTTTACTTTTTTTTGTACTGGATGAAGAGACCAATACTTGTGTCCTAAATGGCTACCTACAGCTTTTAAGACCCCAGATACTACTCACCACATTGGGAATAGAATCCATCAACCATTCTTAAGTCATTGATGGACTTACTCTTTTTTTGCAAATAAAAGATTGTTGTTGTTGTTGTTATGTATTGTTGAGGAGGAACTGACTCATAGTTGACTCTACAGTGAGTTTTAAGAAGCTATAAATTGCACAAGAGAAGATTGTCCCTCTTTTTCTTCCTAAACAGCTCATGGATTTGAACAGTGTGGTTTCAGGTGGGCAGTGCCACTCAATACCAGTAGGCCACCAGAGCTCTCTGAGTAAAAGATTAGTTACTTCATATTTTATGGAAAATTTCTAAGGGGGAAAAGGTGAGGGAAGATAATAAGGAGAGAAAGACAACCTACTCCAGATAAGTTTGTGTGTGATTAGATTTCTTTTGTAGTTCAATTGAAACATTAAGTTACTGAAACTATTCTGAAAATTTTATAATTAATAACATTAAGAATCATTAATCTTTTTATTGTTCTTAGAAATCTGGACTGCATTGAATAGACTGACAGTTTTAGCATAGTCCATTGGAAGTTCACATGCTTTAAAATTACTTTGTTAATGCTTTGTTTGATAGAAACCCATTTTATGAGTAAGTGAAATAGGTTTTGTTATTGTTTCTTAATTGGAGTTCTCAACTAAGATGCCTACAAGTTTTAGTGCTATATCAGTCAAACTCTGGAATAGTGACTTTTATTAGAATAGCCATGATAGCTTTTTAATTATTGGATGTAGTTGACAACTTGAACTTTAATATACTATCCTGGCCAATGGTTTACATGAACTGTTTCATTCCATTTGACCTGCTGCTGAGAATTTGCATTTCCTTTCCCAATATATTGAATCAGAATGTATATATAAACATCACTTTGAGGAGTTTGTTAAAATGTATATTCCAGTTCAATGTCTGGATTATACTGGAATGAACCAGTTTGAAGCTTGAACATGAAACATTCTTGTAGTGCCAATAGCTGCAGAGTCATTATTGGCAATAGTGACTCACATTTATCTTTTCCAGGATCTTACTGTATCTTTAGGGAACTGTGGTGGTTATAGTGATAAGGAGTTGCACTGCCAACCCAAAGACATGCTGTTAGGATCTATCAGTTCCTTCAAGGGAGAAATATGGGTAGTCTCCTGTGCGGTGTACAGCCTCTAGAAACCCATTTGGAAGGTCAGCTATGAATTGGTTCCAACTGGATAACACATTTGTAGCCTTATTCTGTCTCATTAGAGTTGTTGTTAGGATAGACACTATTATATTATAATGAACATATTATGTAAAAATATTATATATAACCCAAATATTATTATTAATACATATCATTAGAATAGACATGTTGTTAAGTGCTGTTGAGTCACCTGTGACTCAGCGACCCTATGTACAACTTCCCTAAAACCTGCTCTACCCTGTGCCAGTCTTGTTTCTGACACATCTACCCTCATAACCCCAGTCATTGAGTTAGTCCATCTCATTGAGGGTCTGGATCAGGTGCACCTTAGTCTCCAGACTGGCATCATTACTCTTCAGTATTATCAAGAGGTCTCTGACAGGAGACTTTGCAGATACAACATAGGATAGGCTGCAATATATTCTGTATTGCAATTATAGAATAGACATATAGTATTAAAACAATTCTCAATATTTTTTCATTAATGCCTTTATGATAGATGGGAGAAGGGACATAAAAAGTGTGAATTCCCCTTTTTCTACTTCAAAGCCGATTTATGTTGATTTTTATTTCCTTCTGGATAGTGAAGACAATAAAATTCTACCTGTTATGTGAATATGTAGGGTTGGTTTTAATTGAAAGGCATTCTAAATCATGAAATAGAAGAGCACCCCTCCCCCAGTCCTATAGTGTGGCATTGTGCTCCACACATTGTGGGAGATAGGTTTCATTTAGGAAGGGCTTTAAAAATATTTGGCACTTGGTTTTTTCTCCCTTTAAAAACACAAAGATGATGGTGTGTTTCTGTTACGGTCTTCAAAATATTGAAAATTTATCAAGAGAACCTTTCTCTAAGAAAAAGTTGTTACAACTTTGAGACATCTTGAAGATGATCTTCAGAAATATCTGTAGATGTAGGTGAAATACTAGGTGGTACATTTTGTCAGAGTGAACTTTTTAGTCATATTTACATGTGTTGTATCCTCACTTTCTCTTGGCTTAAAATTTTCTTTGCTGTGTCTAGTTACTAACGTACATTGACATATTAGTTGGAGACTGCTGACCTCTTAGCACTTTGACAAAAGAGATTTCTATATGAAGAGAAGTCTGCTGACAGTACTAACTACATTTCATTGAGAAGAATAATTTGGCACAATTGAATTTAAATCTTAGTCATTTTTAGTAGCAACCAGAACTATGTTTTTTTCCTTTTTTTTTTTTTTTTTAAATGTGTTTTTAAGACTGTATAAGAGCACAGTTAATTTCATTTAAACCTATTTTGTGTCCATTGCACAACTATTGTGTTTTAGGATGTTAATCCTACCGGAAATAGACATTTAATGTACAAAGTATTTTCTTTTCAGGATTGGCCATTTGATGATGGAGCTCCACCCCCTAATCAGATAGTTGATGATTGGCTAAACCTTTTGAAAACCAAATTTCGTGAAGAGCCAGGTTGCTGTGTTGCAGTGCATTGTGTTGCAGGATTAGGAAGGTAAGTTGTTACCCTTTTGCCTGGAAATGCATTATTATTCCTAAGTATGGCACCTTAAAATTTCACTACGGTGCGATATTAATAATTTGCCAGAAGTGCAACAATGAATGAATGGAAACCCAAAATCTCTGTAAATGTTTATGAAAATTAATAAAATATAATTATAGAAAAAAAAATAATTTGCCAGAAAGGAAATGAAAGTATAAATTGGTGTAGAGATTTCTTAAAATATTGTTTTATCTGATTGTCTAATTCTCATGTAGAGAAGATTAGTGAGTGATGGTTCAGAAGTTCCTTTTATATGTAAATACATTCATAATTCACTGTTTTTTTGGTCCTTTCAAATCAGAGGTTCGAGTCATTGAAATGTACAACACAGTCATTTTAGAGTTTGAAGAGTTATCTATGGTTTATTCTTGAATGAGATGAGTGGGAAGTTATTAGGTAGAGAGCAGATGGCTGAACTTTAAACTCTTGAAAAGATTTCTAGAGAATGAGAATTGACTTTGATTTTAAAACTCTTTTCTCTAGTGTTACTTGTAATGATTTTACAACATTTATCGGTAGCTTAAATGCAATTTATGATGTGCGCTTTGACTTAAAACATTAGTGCAGGCTGCTGTTGCCTCTAGGTAGTGGTAGCTCAGGTTATTAGCTTCACTCAGGCTTTTTGTTTGCTATTTTACTTTTATGCAGTTTTGTATGGTACATTGTCTTAGGGGTTAGAATTTCAATCCTTATTCTTAAACTAAAGGCAGTGTTATAACTTGGGACAATTTTAAAACTATTAACTGTCCTAGTTAGGCAGTCTGATGTTTGTGCCCTCTAATGTACTTTTTTAAAAAAAATATACTTTTAAAAAGGCATGTCTTCTGTTAAATATATATATAATATATGTATGTATGTATTTCTCCCTTTCCCCCCAACACTTGCATAGAGAACTATTCTTAATTTATTCTCTGGTACTTTTTGTAGCTCACCAGAGGGATTTTGTTAATGAAGTCTAGCACCTTTTTAGTATTTTATAAGGAAATGATACTAAAATTGATTTGGAATGAAACTACAGAGGCACTTGAGATTATTAATGTGATCATTTATTTTACTTAGCTAATGGTTAGAGACCAGAGATTTATTATATGTATTTATATATTTATACACACACACACACACATATACACATATATAATGCTGAGAAAATTTTAGATGTAAATAAAGGGTTGTACTTTAATGTTTTTAAAGTTAGAGAAGGGAGCTCTGTGGGGAGTTGTGGTAGTAACAAAAGGCCAGATTCTCTGGTGATTAGCATGTACCAGTGGCTCTGAGAGAGAAGGATAGGAAGTCTGATTTACGGCCTCGGAAACCGGAGAGATCAGCTATGAGTTGATTCAGACTGGATGAGTCTTTTTCTAAAAATAGAAGATAGCTTAGATGCTGTAATGATAGATATTTTACTGTGGAAAGTAATCAGATATTTTAGTATGCAGGAAAAAGAAAGTTCTAAAGCTTATTAGCTTTGCTTTGGTAGTATGTAATCTTGGGGTTAAAAAAATAATTTAATTTTAAAGGTTTTTGCTTATTTAGAAATTTACTTCTCTCTGCAGGGCACCTGTGCTGGTTGCACTTGCTTTGATTGAATGTGGAATGAAGTATGAAGATGCAGTTCAGTTTATTAGACAGTGAGTACATGGATTTTTTGTTCAGAAACTCAGATAAGAGAAACTTTGGAAAGTGTTCAGTTATAGGACAGGGTAATTTTCTGGTTTTTGTTGTAAAACAATGTTTGAAGGTAAAGGTAAGAGCAAATGTAAAGACTCTCCGAATACTACTATATACTCAGTTTATGATTATTCAGGAATCTTGAAAATGAATATTTAAATAGTAATCTATCATTGCTTTAGTGTCTCTTTTTTATATATGTCCAAAATACTTTCCAAATGCAACTCCTAATATTCCTGTAACCAAGAGGCAAGAAAGAGTTACAGAGGAGCAGTTGATCAGTGGAGACTCTTAAGTGACTTGTTTGGGCATAAGATCAAGATGGTGATTGATGCCTAGACAGAATCTTGGCATGAGTCTACATTAACAAGCCTTCTATTCTGTTGTCCAGAATTCTTTGGAAAGAATTGTTTTGCCCTTTCCTTTTGACCTTTTTATTTTTCAGAAAAAATATTATCTGTGATAGAGGACATTAAAAATACAGTAGCATTTCTAGGAGCATAATTTAAATAGTGCTCTCTATGTTGAACATTCTACTTCACTAAAAGTTTTCTTTAATGTACTAATTATTTGCTACCAGTTCTTGTTTAAAGAATCTATTAGAACAGTTATGGGTAAATCATGACAATTTTTATTAATAGACTTATTTTATTACTAATAGACTCTAGTAAAAGTAAAAAAAAGAGTTGTCTATTCTTGTAGTAAGATTCAGAAAGTTAATGTTTAAAATCAGATTTTTTGTTTTAAGAAATTGTATGGGAAATAATGTTGGTTTTTAGTTATGTGGAGTGAGCTAGAAAAGCCTTAGGCATTAAAGAATACATTATAGTGTATTAGCCTGCTTTTTTTTTCTTTGCTGTGTGATAATGTTCCCAATCTTTTATTTCTCAGGAAAAGAAGGGGAGCATTCAATTCCAAACAGCTGCTTTACCTGGAGAAATACCGGCCTAAGATGCGATTACGCTTCAGAGATACCAATGGGCATTGCTGTGTTCAGTAGAGAGAAATGTAAATGGAGGCTGGCTGGATTGCGGCATTTAGAGGGAACTCTTGGTACCTGGAAATGTGAATCTGGAATCTTAACTGTGTCATCAAAGTAGTGATGGATTTAGTACTCCTCAAAGACTCTTCTAATGATTGGATAAAAAGCAGACAAAACTAAATCCCTCTATAACGTGAATAAAATGTGTAAGAAAAGGAAAAGAAAAAAGGAAAAGGGATTGATTCAGTGAACAGTGATTTTGCTGGTGTTGAAGTTGAATTTCTGTCAGGATTGAGTTATTTAAAAATCTTTTTAAACTTTTACAAAATAGACCTCTAAGGAAAACCAGCAAAATGATATTCGCTTGTGCTGAACGGTCTTTTTGGGGAGCACACTCTTTCATTGTACTTGGCACGTAGATTGCCCTGTGACAGGATTTTCTCTTTTCTTTTTTGAGGGAGGGTGTATTCCCCCCTCTTCTGTTCTTCCCCCCCCACCCCACTCCCAAAAGAAATACAAATTATAGATGGAATAGGAGAACTCCTTGTTGCTGTAGAAGTGCATGCTGTATGGCAGCCTTAAGCCCATCTGGGCACTCTTAGGAGAAACAACAACCCCCCTCCCTCTCTGTCCCCCAAAAAAAGAGAAGGAAAGGAGAAAAAAAGCAGAAAAAAAAAGCAATGGCATCTATAGTGTGTATGATCCAGATGGTTTTTAGTCTTTACTGATGATAGAATATTTGTTAGTTTCTTTCCTTGAAAACAATTCAACATTAGGCACAGTAGCCAAGAGCCACATTGTTCTGGTTTTTTTGTTTCAGTAAATTAGAGGGGGAAATAGCATTTTCAGAGAGAAGTATCTCTTCTCAAGAACTTAGCAGATCATCACATCTTTCCTTTTCCAACCAGTGAAGATAAGCTGGTGCCTCAGAAACCTTTCTTTTTTTTTTTGAAGGGAGGACTCAAGGTCATGACTAAAGAAGTGTCTAGGCAGAGAGCACACTTTCTATCCTTGGTAGAATTGTTGTTGTAATGCTGTAGCATTACTCTGGTTTTCTATCTAACATTGTCAGAGAATGCTGATAGTTAAATTTTTTTTCTTTTTAGGACTGATTTATATTCTGAATTTTTTAAAATGATCAAGGGAGTAGCAGCAAAGACTCAATATTTTGGACTTGAGAAATGCCTGTGATGGGTATTTTCCAAACTGCCCCCTATATGTACAGTTCAGTTTTACCACTGATTGCCTTGTTATTTTCTTACTAGGTTCTTTTTGAGATTTAAAAAGAAAAAAAAATTTCGCTGGTTCAAAACCAACAATGCCTAGTGAGTATGTGTCCACAGGTAATGCAGGGTAGAAGAGAAACCCAATGAGTAGCAAAGAGGCTTTTGCTTGTGAAATGGTGTAGTTTTACAGATTTCTTTGCTGGGTTCAATGTGCTTATTTACAAGCTATTTTTCTGCCCCTTTATAGGAGCAGTTGTGACTGGGCTGCATTGACAAAACAAGTTGAGGGACGCCACCATGGGCTCTTGCACTCTTTCCACCTAAATATTACATGTTTAATAGTGTTCTGCTTCCAAGGCTCTGAAAACAGGCTTAGAGTCGTCTTGTCCTGCTGGAATTTGCTGTGCAGAGCCATAAACTTCCATTTATTTTTAGGAATCAGCTAGGCCAGTAGGAATGAACTGGGACCGCGTCTCACACTGATGATACCTCAGATGTTGGCCGGCTATGTGAACTGCCTATTTCCTATTGCTGGAGTTGTTTTGATTTTAAACTAAATGCAAATGCATAGTTTCTTTTCTTCCCACCCCCAAAACAAAACAAAATAATGCTTTTCAAAATTGTTTCTAGGATTTAAAAGTGATAAATGATGGTACTATCCAAAATTTCTTTATTTCTGAATAAGACAGTTGACAGGCTAAAGATCAAAACTATATACTCTTTAAGCCCAGAATGACTGTTGACTCCAAGGTTTTTGGTCAATACCATAAGAAACCCTTTCCCTTTGACACACTCTGATTCTGTGGTTTTGGGGGAGGGTGTGTGTGTGCGTGCACGTGTGTGTGCGTGCACGTGTGTGTGCGTGTGTGTGTGTGTAGTTTCCAGTCAGTATCAGTGCCTGCTTGAGTTGGGAAAATTACATTCCTGGTTTGTGTGAGGAGATGAGTATATAAAGCAACATGAAACATTAGCCCTCTTTGTTTTAAATTACAAACTAATGTTAATTATTCTCAAAACTGGATTTTTTCCCCTCAGAATTAAAATTTTTTTTTTCCTTTTGGATTTAATGAAGTATTGCTAGCTGAAGCCAGTTTGACATGGTGAGAGAGATGTCAGACTGATGAGAGGTGTGCAGCCTGATTTCAAACCAAACCCTGAACCCCTTTAAAGAACAATAAAACATATTTTACATGCTTGTTGTCTGTGCATTTATTCTTCATCCCCAGATTGAGTTTAGTTTATGTCTGTTTAGAAACTTGCTGATTTTAAAACCAATCTGCTTAGAATCCTAACGATTTAACTGCAAGTGAAGTGAAAATAGCGATTGGAGACTTGAAAGATTTCAAGTCACTCAGGTGTAAAATCAGGGCAAACTTAACTGTAGTTGGGATACATCTAATGCATTCTCTGATTTGACTCTTGGACACACTAGGAGTTTATCTTGTTCCAAAGGATTTGTTTATGTCATGGGTTTTTAATAAAGCACTGCAACTTTCTACTTAAATGAATTTGTGTGTGTGAGCAAAAGTTCTCTTTAACTTTTTAAAAAGATGTGTGATTCATACTCTCTTTTTCTGCCTAGAATCTTCAGTGAACTCTAAAAGAAGGTAACACAGGATTTGATAATGGAAATTTCCCTTGAACCCTGGGTAGGCATCTATCCATCCAACAAGTTTAGTTTGAAGGTGCCAAGAATAAAAAGATGACAGTTCCCATTTTGGAGGATCTTACTCATTATAGAGTGAGTCAGACATGTAGACATAGAAACAATTGCAATGAGTGGTTACAATATTCTGTGTTCTGATTCAGTTCTTCACCTTTTCTGTACTTTTATACTTGTGTAACTGGACTTACTGATTAAATGTCCCATGTTTAAAGCCAACCTCAAGTGAACCCTAGCACTCACTACCTAACAGTCATACTCATTGACTCAACTCTATTCTTTCAGTATAGAAAAGTCTTTCAACACCTTTCCCATCCTGTTTTGGAAAAAAGACATCATGCTTGGAATAGTGGTGCAGGCCAGCAAAGGAAGGGAAGACTCACCAAGATGGATTGACAGAATGACCGTAATAGCTTGAATATATCAGAGGTGATGAGAATGGCACAGGACAGGATTCAGATCCATTGTTCATCAGGTTGCTGTGAGTTGGAGTTGACTCAGCTGCACTTAACAACTTAGGACTTTTTTTTTTTTAAGAAAATACAAAATTTCCTTACGTTGCCGCCATCCCATCTCTCTTAACCTGTATCTGTTCACGTATGTCCTGTCTTCTCCAGACAGATTGTCCTTGGCATTTAGGTATTAGGTTCTATCACTTTTTGGAGGACTTTATTTTAGTCTTTATTTCTTTCCTGATTATTCTCTTTACTAGAGTGTTCTCTAGGCATCTGTTGATTGCTTTTGAGTTGAGAATGACTCATAGTGACCCTATGAACAAAAGGCCTGAAGCCTTTCTATAACTGTTAACATTTATCAAAGTTCATAGGGTTTCTGGAGGCATGTTTAGGAAGTGGATGCCACTACTAAAAAAACCCCAAAAAAAACCAACAACACGAGCAACCCACCAAAATAAATCTTGCCTAATCTCTCATTTACCCCTTCAGCCAGCACCCCTGCCACCCCTTACTCGTAAAACTCAGGAGTTACCTATATTTTCCACTTTTCTTTCCAGAACTCCTTCCAATGATTTTTTAAAAAATTCCACTGTCATGGTCATTAAACTATTTTTGGTATTTAATCCAGTGGCCAGTTCCTTAATGACAGTTACTCATTCTTCTGAAATGCTTTATTTGCTGTGGTAAAAAAATGGCCCTTCTCAATCCCAGGAACCTGTGAATATTATGACAAAAAGTGTTAGAGGAGCTGGATTAAGGATCTTGAGGTGACAGGAGTATCCTGGATTATTTAGATAGATTGCTATCCTCTCAAACTGGTGCCAGAATGTACAACAAAAGATTACCCGACCCTGTTCACACTCAGGAACACTGCTTTGCTGTCCCATTGTGTGACTTCTGTGCAACTTATTGTTGGCCCTCCCCAAATTGATTCCCTCTAGTATTTGGTCCTGCCTGGTGATGTATGCAGTATAAGCAAGTCATCATACCTGTAGGACTTAAGTACATTGTTTGCCTGGCCTTTCTTCCTAGTATATCATAGTCTGAAAGCTTAAACCAAAACCTATTGACCCTAAGTTACTGCTCATGCATCTTGAAGTGTCTTGGCGTATCTTCCAGCTGCGTAGTGACAACATTACTACAAACTGACACTATAAAATCTGAGTAGAGCCAATCTGGAGAACAACCACTTGGCCAACTGACTGGAAGAGATCTATATTTGTTCCCATTCCAAAGAAAGGTGACCCAACTGAGTGTGGAAACTACAGAACAGTGTCATTGATTTCACATGCAAGCAAGATTCTGCTGAAGATCATCCAAAAACGATTAGAACAGCACATCAGCAGAGAACTGCCGGAAGTCCAGGCTGGGTTTAGAAGGGGTCGTGGTACTAGGGATATCGTTGCTGATGTTAGATGGATCTTGGCTGAAAGCAAGGAATACCAGAAGAATGTCTATCTGTGTTTCATTGATTATGCAAAGGCATTTGACTGTGTGGATCATAACAAACTGTGGCTGACTCTGAGAAGAATGGGAATCCCAGAACATTTAATTGTGCTAATACGAAACCTATACTTGGACCAAGAGGCAGTAGTCAGAACAGAGCAGGGTAACACTGCATGGTTCAAAATAGGGAAGGGTGTACGCCAGGGATGCATCCTGTCTCCATACCTTTTCAACATGTATGCAGAGCAGATTATCCGAGAGGCTGGGCTCTATGAGAATTGTGGCATCAGGATTGGTGGAAGATCTATCAACAATCTCGGTTATGCAGATGACACAACCTTGCTTGCTGAAACTGAGGAGGACCTCATGCACTTGCTGCGAAGGGTCAAGGACTGCAGCCTTCAGTATGGACTAAGGCTCAACGTCAAGAAGACAAAGATTCTCGCCACTGGACCAATTGGCAGCGTCAGGATGGATGATGAAGAGATTGAGAGTGTTCACAGCTTCACTTTGCTCGGCTCCACACTTAACACTCTTGGT